GTCAGAATTCTGAGAAAAAAGTCAGAATTCTGACTTTTTTCTCAGAATTCTGACTTTTTTCCCATGTTAAACTGAAATAATATTTAAAAATCAGTTTACTTTTTTTTTTTTTTCCAGTGGCCCTAATCCTCTTCCATAGAGAAGCGACGCTGCAGCGCTGGATTTTCATGCTTTACCTTCTCGATCTTCTCATCCAGCATTCGGAAGAATTCCTGCTGACTCTCTGAGGAGTGGACGCTCCTGTGGGGGAGGGGCAGACGGCCAGTTAGAGCCTCACACCTGCAGCATATCAAGCAGCGGCGGCGGCGGCGTTCAGACTCACAGAATCTTTCCGTTCGCTCCTGATTGGCTGGAGGGTTGTCCGACGCCGAGGAGAGAACTTTTCTCCTGCGGGAGAATCAGGAAGCATCGTTACTGCAGCCTCCATCGCTGACTAACAGACATCCACAACATCTGCCTCCATTTAAAACCTTCTGGAACTTTCTCAGACTTTTACCAAATCACAACCAGGAATATCACTATCTTAATCTAATGAACTGATAAAAATGTGTATAACTGATATTAAAAATATCATTTTCTAACATTTCACTGATGTTTAAAAGTAAAAAAGCTGCGATTTGGTTTAATTCAGAGCAACAAACACTTTTCCACTGCAAAACACTTAAATCTCAATAATTATAATCTAATAATTATTAAAATTAGTGCATTTTTGCTTAAATTAAGGAGGGAAGTGAAACGCTGTCAATGGAACAAGAAAATGTACATTTAAAATAAGAAAAAACATTTAATTGCCTTGTTTCAAGTGCTTATTATCTAATTATCTTATTTTTTAGAGTAAAAATACTCGTTCCGTTCCATTGAAAAATCATCTTATGAAGGATAAAAACACTATTTGAGACATTTTTAGATTGTTTTTTTTTTCGTGTCCAAACCTGCACTGGAAAAAAAATCTTAAAGTTGGTAAAAAATGTCTTAAATAAAGTGTATTTACCCTTAAAATACTAATTCCATTGGCAAATCATCTCATTATGCTACTCAAATGTAGACTTATTTTAAATATATTTTATCTAAATATCTTATTTTAACTTTCTTATAATATGCATCTTTTACCTCCTCAATTCAAGAACTAATGCACTTATTTTAAGAAAAAGTTACGTATCTAGATTTAGATTTTTCCCAGTGAGTCCAGTTCAGTTAGGCCTCATAGATAAAGAAATGTTTGCATGTTTGCTGCAACAAACTACTAGTTTTGAGGTTAGACATTTTTTTATACTAGAAACAAGTTGGATTTTATGACGATTCTTCAAAGAAGCTTCGGTTTGACTAATAAGGAAATATTATCAGGATTAGAACTTTGAAATTATTGTTCAAACAAGTACCGGTATGTTTGTATGGAAGAAAGGATGCTGCTACAAGAATTAGCATTTTATATATTCAGGTCAGAATTCAGAATTCAAAATATGAAATTATTAAATACTTTTCAATAAATCATCAGTGTTTTAAATTCAGAGTAATTTTCATCTGTTTCATCTTTTTACGCAGCGAGGCTCATATAGCGAGGCTAACTGCATGCAGCGAGGCTAACTGCATGCAGCGAGGCTAACTGCATGCAGCGAGGCTAACTGCA